AGATAACGATGATGATGATGTGTGTTCGGGGCTGTCTGATATTAGTAGTTCGTTTTTACGTAACAAATATCTGAAATTTTCTGATATTAGTAGTTCGTTTTTACGTAACAAATATCTGAAAATTTCTGATAATTCGCATTTCGTTTTGTCTGAAAATTCCCGATAGTAGCTTTTCGTTTCTCTGATATTTTCGCATACATAGCTGAAATTTCCGAAGTTAGTATTTCGTTCTCTAGGCATATTGGGATAACGATAGAAGTGGTCATATTCTCGGAAACTGGAATTATTCTTTTCTGAAAATCGAATTTCCATTCGATCTCGCAATTTTTTTTGAAAACCAAAATCTTGCGAAGCCTACCAATATTGCGTTAGGCATATTCGGAGGTTGCCATATTCTCAGAAACCGGATTTCGTTCTTTTCTGAAAATCGCATCTTTACTCCATTTCGCAAAAAAAAAATTTCAAGATCGCAGTTTGTAAAAGCCGAAACTTTGCGGAACCTAGCCTAGATCTCGTTCATAGTACTCTTCTGACATGTCCTACTCATAATAGATCGACAGATATAAAAAAAAAAAAAAAAAAAAAAAGGAAGTAGTCCTCTTTTATTTTTTATTTTATTTTTATCTGTTGATTAGGGCGGAGGGCAGTATTGTTGGGTTGCTTGCCTACCTACGTTCTCCACTCCCACCCACCCTTTTGCATGCATTTCCGGGTTGGTACAGTGACATGTCAGCAGTGCCACGTCAGACAGTGCCACGTCGGACACAATGCCACGTAAGCAGTGCCACGTCAGCAGTGCCACATAAGCAGTGCCACGTCAGCAGTGCCATGTCAGACAGTGCCACGTAAGCAGTGCCACATCAGCAGTGCCACGTCAGACACAGTGCCACATAAGCAGTGCCACGTCAGCAGTGCCACGTCAGACACAGTGCCACATAAGTAGTGCCACGTCAGCAGTGCCACATCAGCAGTGCCATGTCAGACACAGTGCCACAGAAGCAGTGCCACGTCAGACAGTGCCACGTCAGCAGTGCCACGTCAGCAACATGACGGGCCTGCCAGGCCAACTGGCCAATGAGCCCATTGCCGACTACAAAAAGCGCTTCCAGGCTCAGCTCGCTGTAATCGAGGCTGAGGAACAACGCCAGCTGGCAGCCAAGGCTGCCCAGCTACAGGCTGACGAAGCGGCAGCAGCAGAGAAGCTCCGGCTACAGGCCGAAGCAGACGCAGATGCCCAGGCTTGCCGCAAGGAAGCCCAGGATCTGCTGCAGCGGCATGAAGCCAGCAGCATCGACAGACTCAAGTTCTAGCACTTTGAACCGAATGGCGATGAGGCAACACCGGAAGAACAGCATAAGGAGTTCATGGCCAAGCTCGTGACCAGGTTGGTTTATACTTGTAACAACCTACAGTCCGAGTTGGCGAACCTCCAGCGGGCCGTGCGGAACCATAAGACTCAGCACGAGGATGCCACACGGGCACTGGACGCTCGTGTACTGGACCTGGAACAGGCTGTACCAGGACCAGATGCTGGGGCTTCCAGCAGTGCATCCTCTAGCCGCCAACTGGAGGAACGCGTTGACCACGTAGTGGCAATGCTAGGAGACATAAGTGCCTTCACAGAGTCGGCCACCATMMKCCAGCGGTTCGAGTTGCTGGACACCAAGATCAGTCAGCAAYAGCAGACCGACCACAGCCACAACAACAGCTCGGCGAGGCCATACAAGATGCCGACGTTCCGGATCGAGAAATTTGATGACTACACACATCAAGACCCGGTCATCTGGTGGCAAGGATTTACAACGGAGTTGGGGATTCAC